TAGATTTTCTTTAAGGCATTATTTAAAATTTTTGCACCTCTTTTTATATACATTGTTTTCTATAGTAAAATGTGGTTCTCAGTTGTTTTGTTCGAAAGACAATAAATTAATTGCTTAATACAATAACAAGTTACACGGTTCGTTAATATTTTGCACATAAATTTTATTTATTTCAATTGTTGTGATCTTTAAAAATTTCCAATTGCTAAATTATACAGGATAGGGCGAATTGTGAAGTAACACCACCAATATATGCCCTTAAGTATATATTTAGATTTGGGTGTTTTCTACTACCATATGGTGGATAGAAGGTTATTTTGTCTATTTTGCTTAAAAATTCTCATGTTTGTTATTATATTAGTGCTTTTCGAAAAATCCTTGTATGGTTCGTTGATTTAGAGTGTGAGAAAATTTTTTGATAAAAAAAAATTTTTTAAATTAATTTGGCCGTTATATACAATATTAGACTACGTTTTTAAGTGGCTATTACTTCGATATGGCCTTGATATGTAAAAAACTAGAACTAAAACTTTTTACATAGATTATGAAAAGTGCACAAGTAAAACAAGTAAAAATGTTAGTCGGACATGCCGAACCATATGAAATCCTATATCGAAGATTAGTATGGGGCTGGTGTCTATAGTACTCTGTTGCTCACTTATATTGAAAGATATACTTATGCCTTTAAGTTATATCGTTTGATGTCCCAAGTCTCAACTGTATGGAAATTGATAGAACACATATTGGTTCTACACCCAAAGTATACAAATCGGCTCATAATTATTTTCTGAGTCGATTAAGCTATGACTGTCCGTCTGTCAGTCTGGGTTTCGCAATTCTTCAAGATAATGAAATTTTGGACATACTTTTCTACTGGTCCAAAGACGAATCCTATTGAAAATTGTTGGAATAGGTCTATAATTTTACCTAGCACCCATATAACCGTACCCCCGAATAGGACTCAAGAGCTCATAATTATGTTAAATGTTTTGTTATCTACAACTTAGTTTTCTAAAAGTCTAAATGTTACTGCCAAATCTCGTAATGATCAGGTTATACTATATTTGACCCTAGTCCCATACAATGTCCCCTCCAGAAAAGGACCTTAAAGTCAATAATTCACTTATAAACACTAACATAACCATAAATTCTGCACAAATAAAGTTAATTTAAATGTAAATCCCTATAGCAACATTTATAAGGATAGTCCCATATTTACCCTTGGCCCCGTATAACGCCTCTTTCAGAAAATCACTTTTTTGTTAACAAATTATTTAAATATTTCGAAATTATGGCAAAAAAACTACTTAAATTAACAAATAATCTTATATGTGTAATTGTGCGATTTATTGCTGATATTTAAAATACCCCAGAGTTTAAAACCCCAGCACCCGGCCAAAGGCAAGCTACCAACATAACAATATCAAATTTAGGAGCAATTCTTTTCGGGATAAAAGTGTCCCTTTCCTTTTCCAATACATTAAGAAATATCATAACATGCATGGATACTATGACACTTTTTGATGCGTCATAACGTCCATGGACATTATGTCACTGGACATTATGACACGCCATCAAATGATCTAACTATTACGATTTAAAATACATATTTGCGTTGTATGGGAAGTACCACGCCCATTAATGTATGTATGTACGCCCATTTTTAATGTAAATTTAAACAGCAAACAGTTCCAAGAGTGTAGCTGGTAAATGTTACCAGACATATGTACAAATATTTGTATTTACTTTATCGAGGGAGTTGCCACGCCCTCTATTGCTAGTTCCCTCGTTTTTTAATTTATATACAACAAACATGATAAATAACAATATTTTTATTGAGTAATTTTGTACATAGTAAGTTAATATTTTGAGATCTGTTGATTCTATTCTATATATTAAGTTTCATAAAATATTTTTTTAAACGTATCTAAATCCATACTCACAATATTTTACCGTAACCTATGTATTTCATAACAATTATCCTTTCTTTCTTGAATTTATAACGGCTTTTTTACTTTTAAAAGATCACCTTAAAGCTGCATATGTTTGTGTGAGTATTTTAAAGTTATTATACTTTTATGATTTTACCATATGGTTCAAATAACCCAGCAAACATGTCGAAACATGTCTGCCAAACGCGTATAAATGTGTGTATGAAAATAAATAAAAACATACACAAATATCCTTTTCATTGTTAATAAAACTCCTTGTCTACTACTTCTATAATATAAAAGTATATTTGTTTCCTTGTTCCAAAGACTTTCTTGACGCAATGACTTGGTAACGTCCTTTTTTGACATGTTGAATTTTGTCAAAGTTTTTGTTTGTTTTGTTTTGCATTCCTTTAAAAAAAGGGGTGTGTATTTTCTGCGTAAATTTTTTTTATATAAAATTCATTGTATAGCTTTAAAAAAGAAATAGCGACATAATACCAGGGGTTTCATTTAATTGAAAAAATTATATTGTTTAAGTATCGAAAACAACAGAAAATATAAAAGAAGTTTCGTGGACAATAGAATCAAATACAGGTAAATAAGTTTCTACTTGAAAAGAACTTGTCGTTTTGTATTGTTTTGCTGTAACAGTGTGTGTAGAAGTTCCTTTTCGCATATTTTAGGGAAACAGGCGAATTTCTAAAGAAATCACTGCGTTTTATTTCTTTTATATTTAAAATTAATAACATATGATTACGAGTTTTTTGAAGGGGTGTTTGTTTTTTACAAGTTTCTTTAAAGTTTGATTCTATATATCTGGTTTCTGCCTGTAAAGGTATTTTATTTTCTATTGTTGTTCAGAACTGTTCAGACTACTTTAGGGCACTTTAAGGCATCATGTTTAAGTGAAGTGTTAGATACTTTAAAACTGTAACCTTTTTTATGTTAGTTGTTCCAGTTCAGACACTATTTCATAAATATTTAATAAAAAAATAATTAAAAATTGTGAATAAAAATTATAGTTATCGAAAATGTTCTATGAAATGAAAATTTTCTGTAATAACCTGTTTTAAATCTATAAACAGTAAATTTATCGAACATTTTTTATAAAAAATCGCAAATTTTCTATAAAAAGGAAACTTATCGAAAATGTTCTTTAAATTTATTTATTTATCCAAACATTATAAAACGAAAACTTATTGAAAATTTTCTATAAAACGAAAATTTATCGGATAATTTCTATGAAACGCAAATTTATCACAAAATTTATATAAAACGAAAATTTATCGGAAATTTTCTATAAAACGAAAATTTATTGGAAATTATATGTAAAAAGAAAGAAGAAATTAAGCGAAAATTGTATATAGAAAGGAAAATTATTAAAAATTTAAATATAAAAAGTAAATTTATCAAAAAATTTATATAAAATATAAATTTATCGAAAATTTTATGTAAAAAGTAAATTTATCGAAAATTTTATATAAAAGTAAATTTATTTTTATGTAGAAAGTAAATTTATCGAAAATTTTATATAAAAGTAAATTTATCAAAAATTGTATATGAAAAGAAATCTAATTAAAAATCCTATAAAAAGAAATTTTTTTGAAAATTGTCTATAAAAGAAACTTCATCGAACATTTTTTATCAAAATAAACGTATAAAAAGAAACTATAAAAATTTCTTTATAAAAGGAAATGTATCGAACATTTCCTATTAAAAGAAACTTCGTCGAAAATTTTTTATAAAAATAAACGTATTATTTAAAGAGATTTTTTTATAAAAATAAAATTTATAAAAGAAAATGTATCGAACATTTTTTATAAAAATAAACATATAAAAAGAAACTATCAAACATTTTATTATAAAAAGAAAATTTTGTATAAAAAGAAAAATAATCGAAAATTTTCTATAAAACTGAAATTAATCAAAAATTAAAATAAAAAATAATTTTATTGAAATTTTCTAAAAAAAATTATCGAAAATTCTTATTAAAAAATATAAAATAATTTAGAAAATGTTCTATAAAATTTAAAGAAAATTTGTAGAACATTTCTTATAAAAAATAAAATTTATCAAACATTTCCTATAAAAAATAAATTAATATAAAATTTTACATAAAAAGAAAATTTATCGGAATTTTCCATAAAAAGTAAATTTATAGAAAATTGTTATTAAAAAAAATATCGACAGTATTCAATATAAAAATAAAATTTAGAAAATCTTCTATAAAATTTAACGAAAATTTGTGGAACATTTCCTATAAAAAATAAAATTTATATAATATATATACATAATATATAATTTAAAATTATAAAACTCAATACAAATAATAAATTAATTTTATCGAAAAATTAACTATTTAGTCAAAATTAAAAAAAAATCTTAAAATATAAAATACATATTTTAAGATTAAATATTTTTTATGAATTTTACTTGAGTTTTTAAAGATGTTCCGAAATTTTTGGAAATTTCCAATCAATATAAATTAATTTTAATAAAAACACAATTATTTTTAGTTTTAAACGTTTTTTACTTGATGTTAATTTTTATTTAATAAAAATTTAATTAATAAAAACAGTATTTTTTTATTTATTACATAAACTTTTGCTTTTTATAATAAAACTAGTACTAAACAACTTAAAGTACTTATTTAAACAATGTCTTCCAATTTTTTAAAATAACTAAAATTATAAAAAAATATTAAACTTAAAATATAATTTGGTTTGTTTGTTTGTTTTGCTTTGGATTTTAATAAAAACTATTACTTTAAAAAATCTTAATATATTTACATACATTTAAAAAGTTTATACTAAAAAGTACCAAAAGTACTTATATGAAATAATAATAGAAAATAGTTTGTTTACATATGTAATGAAACTTTAGATGATCGATATAATTTAAATTTGAATCATAAATTTAAAAAAAGTTGGCTTTTTGTTTACTTTAATTACAGTTTGAAAAAGTACCCGAAAAGGTTCTTTTTATTAGTGTTTAAAACTGTATTCGTTTTAAGTTATTTTGCTTAAATGAATAGCCATTGACTTTATCAATTATTTTTATAGCTCTTATCATTTGTATTAGACATAAAAGTACCAAGATTTGACAAGGGTACTTTTTCTTTCATTGCATAAAAAGTCTCCATCAGATATTTAAGATACTTGAAAGTTTTGATCTGCTCTTTAAAATATCTTTCCTGTGATAAAGTGGATTAAATATAAACTCTTCGTACCACATATTTTCTTAAGAGAATATTTACAGCAGTTAGTGTAATAAAAAGTACCTTTCAAAGTAAAGGTACCTTATTTTACCCTTTTGTAACTTTTGCCTCAGTACTAAGTAGGAAACAGTTAGATATTTCCTTATAACTTTCTTCCATTTACATCATTAATGAACCACCATCCGATTTGGGAGTATGAGCATCCCACCAATCAATTGCCTCAATCATACTTTCGTCAGACAAAACATTGGTGTTGTGAGAGGCATCTAAGAGTACTTCATTAAATTCCTTTTTCATGGTAACAATTCCCTCATAAAATGAAGAAGAATTTTGATCATGAGGGAAAAATTGTTGCAACATATGAGAGGAAGAGGAGGCAGTAGATGTTGTGGGTGTTTGGCGTTCTAAAGGTGGAGACATGGTAGAGTGATGATAAACTTGTAAATGTTGTTGCTGTTGTTGTGAAGGTGATGTTTGTTGATAAATGTTAGAAGAGGGTTCTTCAGGATACTCTTGTTTAATCATGTGCAACGTCCCTATTTGCTGGTCATTTGAGTTTGGTAGTAGAAATTGCTGTTGCTGCTGTTGTTGTAGTTGATTAGCGGCACACGTTTGTCTTATGGCCTGTTGTAGCTGTTGTTGATGATGTTGATCATTAGTTGTGGCAGGTGATAATGTATGTAGTTGATGTTGATGTAATACTGGACTTGTACTGGGGGATGATGTTGCCGTTAACAGTGGTATTATTTGCTGTTGTTGGTTTTGTGGCACGGGCGATAATAATAACGAAGTTGATGATGATATTGTAGCAGTTACTGTTGATGATGAAGAAGAAGATGATGATGAAGATAATGTAGCAGTCCCTTCGTTTATGTTTTCTCCATTAGTTACTGTTGTTGTAGTTGTTGTTGTTAAGACAGGTGCTGTTGTTTCTTGTACCCTTCTTATTACCTCAGTGGAATTAATTGATGGTGGTGAAGGCGATTTTTGATCAGCTGTAGTTGTCTGTTGTTGTTGCTGCATTATGCCTGGCGTTGACGATGATGAAGGACTTACACAATTAGTGTCAATTAATGCATTAAAATGTTCTTCATCAATAGTTGAGGATGGTGGCGAGGTGGCCGTACCCACGAATATGTCTGGGGTCAAGAGTTGATAGGTATTTGTCCCTGGAATTCTTATATATTGTAGACCATTAAGTGTTGTTATATTGGGTAACATATCCATTTGTGCTGAAGGTTGTGGAGATGAGGAGGGCAATTGTGTTTGCTGTTGACTGGTGTTTGAAGAGAAAAACTCTTCATTGTCATAGTGACTTAAAGAGTCATCGAATTGTTCTTCCATGCTGGGAGAATAAGCATCAAATTCATCTTTTATTAAACTAAAACTTTCTTCACCACTGGAAGAGTTAAGTTGTCCAGAGCCTGCAGGAAAGTCAAAACCCAGCAAACGCTCCAAAGATCTTATATATTCCACTGCCATTCTTAAGGTCTCAACTTTGCTAAACTTTTTGCATGAGCCCCTATTAGTGCCTTGATTTTCAAATACCTCAGCCACCTCTTCGGGTATGTGCTCTCTTAAAGCGGCAAAACCATTATTGACCTGTTTAACACGATTGCGCTCACGGGCATTGCGTCTAGCTACCGCCTGGGGCAAGGGCAAACCTTTGCGTCCTGGGGTGCCGGGTATTTTGACTTGTTGTATCAAAGCCATGGGCTGATCTTTAGTATTCCCTTTCGTTAAGCTAGAGTTCTCCTTTGCCGCTTTCTTGGCCAAACGTATGGCTGCTCTTTCCTCCTTGGTTAACTTAGGCTTTTTACTAGCCGAGGCTGTTGGTTTGCTCTCGGTGGGTTTTTGGTTTTGTTTACTTTCCGTTAAAGGTCTCTTGCGTGGATTCATATTTAAACTGGCCGCTCCAGAGGCATTATTCACTGAGCCTATCATGCCAAAATCCTTAATTTTCCTGACAATGGCATTCGGGTTGCCATTGGTTATATTCAAAGAATTGCCATTATTTTCACTTAAAACATTTTGCACGGTTATCTTGTTAAACGTTTTATTCAAGGCATTATTGCCATTAATTGCTCCACTTGAGCTGGAGTTTTGGTTGTTCACTTTCATATTTAATCCCGATGATAGATTGTTGTAATTCAAAACACTTAAGGTGGCCATTGGTTTAACTAAAGCTTTTCGAGAAAAGCTTTATTTTAAAAACGAAATTAATTTAATTGGATTTATTTTTTTTAATTTAAACTTCCGTATTCCTTTTCCCGCTTATCGTTGTTGTTTGTTGGAGTTCTAAATGTCAACTGAATTGCTGCAGTCAATGTAATGTTACAGGAATTTTCTTTTACACAAATTTTAATTGGAAAATGTAGTCGCAGTGTTTTTTTTTTTATTTTTTGGTAAGAACCAGCTGTCTGGTTGTATGCTGCAATGTGTGTCGCGTGCCCGATGTCTCGTAATGAAATGTCATGGGGCGTCTCTTGCAACAAACGTCCTACCAACGGAAATGACTTCAGTAACTGAATGACTGACTGATGGTTGTTGCAACACGAGTTATGTGAGTACAATAAAAATTGAATACCTTTAATCATACATACAGCGAGGCAGACAGGCCGACATATACCTCTAAATGTATTGTATAATGCTGCTGCCGCAAAAGGTTGCTGCCACCTTAGTTTGAAACAACAACAATTGCATACGAAACGAATACTTTAGCAGCAGCGTTAGAGTAAAAACATTATATTTTATTTTCCACACATTCTCTCACAAACACCAAAAATATTCAAAACACCACTTAAAATAACAACAACTACAATTCTTATTGTCTCTTCTCTCCTTTACCCTACCCTACCTACACACCTATTCATTTAAGTAACTGTATGTGAGTGTGTGTGTGTGTAAATATCCTTGCAACAAAGGTGCTTACTCACACACACACACACATTTCTACTTCTTCCTATGTATTAGTGTTTTGTATTGGTAAAATGTGGTGACTTTTCATCCCTTAGGCTAGCTTTCGTGTCAGAGTCGTCGAGTCTTTAGTTGGGTGTTGTATGCTTAATGTGATCGTTTCTCTTTTTTTCTGGATGGGAAATCTAACATCTGATCTTTTGTTAAAATTTTAAGGGTGGTTTTGTTATTCATATTGGTAGAGAAATATACATTTTGGTCTCAATATTGTTTCGTATTTTTTTCTTGCTTTTTAATGTGTTATAATATTGCGCCTTTTTAGGGGTTTTCGTATTGATCAAAGGCGTTTAAAATGTTTGTAAGAAAAAGTGCTTAAAATTTATAAGAAACCGATAAGAATTTATGAATTTGTTGTGATTTCACATTCTAATTGGTATTCCTTTTGGTTGTGAAATTAAAGATTTTTCAACATTCATTAATACAGAAGAAATTTTTGGACATATTAAAAAAATTTTAGGGAACATCATCTCATTAATGTAACTGAACTAAATTAAAGTTGTTTTTCAATCTTACTGTTTCCTAGTGCCAACAAGCAATCATAGCCGAGTTGATTCTAAATTGGTCTGCAATTGTGCGGATTCCTAGTAACAGCACTGGCGCTGGAACAACTCTATTCTATTTGACGCGGTGACCATTCAAAGCTTTAAGTCAAGTTTTTCGACATTTGAAATTAATCAAGAAATCAACATTGAAAATATGTTTATTAGGTATTACATAATCCTAGCGCATCCATACCAGACGGTAGGAGAAGATATTGACATTTAATCCTGATGTGGAGAAAAAAAAATAAAAATACCTTAAATTTATCCATAAAGTTTATTATTCAAAACTCTGGAATAACTGGGACATGCTAATTTTATTTATGTCATGGCCACACCATTCATTCTACTTTAGGTATAGGTATCTTATCCCTCTCATCATTCTCCTTGTTACTTCCAAATTTACAAATTTGACAAGACAAGTCAAACCTAGCCGACGTCATTATTCGTTTTAGTTCATTTTGTTCTTCTTCTGTGCTTTTGAAAGCGCAGTTACTTCAAAGTTGTATTCATAAATTTTAACAAAATGTTGCACTTTAGATCTGTTTCTTACTTTTAGTCAATTTGGAGCTTAGATGCACTGATTTTCGATCAATATTAAGTATCCAACTGACTGAGCACAAAAACTTTTTTAAAGCTATTTCCTTCTTCTTATAAATGACTCAGGTCATTACCTCACAGATATCCTTCTAAGTGAGATTTTAGATTTTAACACACTTAATCAAGGACAGAGGTCTATTTATTATTTGAAATTTCCATAAAAGATGAAATTTAACTGTATGTAACTCAGACCCAGACCAGGTTGCCGATTAACATAAGACAACCACATGTCGGACTTCTAAAATCCAAACCAAAAAGCACCATTTAACTTTCCTTAACTTCAATGAACTAATACTGGAGGATGCATAGGGAATATACGTTATCTGGTTGAGGTTATCGTTTGAATGTAAGCTACCTTCCAAACCCATGGTCTCCGTATAGTTAGTCGTGGTCACATCAGGGGAACTGTGCACAGTGGTTCCTTCTGAGTAAATTTGGAGACTTAAGCATACTGAAATTAGAATTGGAGGCACAAAGTCGCAGTAAAGCTATCCCGCGACCTCCATCTGAGTGAGGTTAGAGATTTTAACACACTTACTCCCGTTAACACCACCTCCGGTTATCGTTTAACCAGTAGATATTCTTCGGTTAAAATAATTTTTTTATGAAAACTGTCAATATAACCAGACATTAATCAAGGATAGAGGGCTACTTTTTCATGACATTTCCATAAAAGAGGGAGTTTAACAATATATAGCTTTGGTGGAGTTAGACCCAGACCGGGATGTCGCCTAATATAAGACAGTGCATCTCGGACTTCGAAATCGAAAAGCACAATTTTGCTCTCCTTAACTTCTGGAAATTGAAACTAAGTATTCAATCCTACTGAGTACTAACGTTACCCATGTAGACTTATGCACACTGAACCAAGAACAGGAGTTTTTAGTTTGCAATTTCCATAAAAAATGAGAATTTTAGAAATTTATACCTCTGTTGCTCCTTTGAAGTCAGACCACAGACCAAGACCGCTTAATATGATGCAAATGTATACAAATTTTTAAGCATTTCCGTAAACTGACGCTGTGGGGTGCATAGTGAACAGACACTACCTACATATATACCTCAAAACTCTTTGGAAAGACAAGAGTTTTGATAATAACGAAATGCCTAAGATTCTGGGACTATGTCTGCAAGAAAGTGCTACATACGGCTGGTTCAGGGTATTCTTGTGCCGTTTGTTTAGTAAAACGCTTGTTACAAAGATTGACTGCTAGGTTTTTCTAACTTTTGATGCATACAATGCCGGTTCGTTACTATTGGTTATTTAAAAAAATCCAATTACTCGTCTTGACATTCAAACAATGGTAATTAAATATTCAGAACTTGAAACGAGACAGAAAAACTCTGAGATTTGCACACTGATTGTGGGCTAGCACGGTATAACTCTGTTCTTTATCCATCAATATAAATTGAAATTAAAGAAATTAAAATATTTACAACAAATTTCACTCTAACAAAATATCAGAACCCGTTATTTTATAAATGTCTAGTACATTTTCTCATTTATTATAACCTAATGAGTCTCGATAACAGCAATTCTACAACATGTGAAAGGATATCCTTTCCATCTATATCCCTCTAATGATTTATGATAAATAGAACATTATATAATAAAAATTCGGTTAGTATTTTGTAAACAAAACGCGGCCACAATTAGAAAAATAAATATTCAAAGGCTTTCAAAGCGGAAATTCTCCTTCATGGGTCAATATAAATAAACATTTATGTGTATTAAACATGTGTAAAAACGCGAATGAAACGTTTTGTTAATGATCCTTAATAAGAGAAAATAAAAATAACGAAATGACAGACTTTACAGTAATGACAGTTAAATTTCTACACCAAAACAATACACGTATGACACAAAAGCAGTAACAGTAATTTAATTTTAATAAAAAGGACATTAAACATTTCTATTTTACCCCTGTTTGGTCAAACACCCAATTCTAGTTTAAAAGCGTTCAAGCGTATTTTCACATACAGGACATTTGGAAAAGTTTTTCAAACTTTGTCAGTTGTTTTTTGTTTTCCATCAAACATAAAATCATAATGAAGAAACACTTTTTATAACAGTAGTCGTTGCTTGATTCATTTACATGTATAAGTATTTTTTATTCAAATAAGTTGAGCGATGGGAAAATGTTGTTTTGTAATCATAGTTATTTTCTATTCGAAAAGAAGGATCTTCTCATGCCTTGCATGTCCTGCAATCTGACATTTATTTTTCAAACGTTTTATTTATGTTTCAAAGTGTTTATCATTCTTAACATCATCATCGTCTTCCTGATGGAATGAGTCAGTTGTTTTTTATGCTTTGCTAGATTCACGTAATATATTTTATGTTTTTTACCAGGGGAATTTTTCATTTCTGCAGGATGATACCATACATACACTGATCAGTTGTTATATTCTAAGTGTGTAACCACTCTCTGCAGGATTTCTAGCTAGCTTACTTATATTAACGTGGGAAATATTATAGCCGGTTTTATGTGCTTGTGTGTGTGTAATTTTCAAAATATTTAAATTTTTTGTTTTCTTTTTGTGTATGTTTTTAAATTTGATGGTTTTTAATCCTCTTATATTGAGTGATGCCTGGAAATGTTGTATTTGAGAGATTCTGTTTGGATTTAATTTAATATCCTTTAAATGATATGAAGAATATTTTTATTGTTATATTTTTCGAACAGTATTATGCAAAGACATTGTGTTGGTTCATTAAATGAATTCTAACGGACGTGATAAAATTTCTAGTTCTGGCACTAAAAACACTTTCTATTTCAAGTTTTACAGTTCGACTATTTATAAAGAGTCACGATATTGCGAATTTTAGTCTGATATAGCTACACTGAAAATAATCCATGCCTAATATACACGAAAAATATTGTACATTGTACGAAATGCTTCGTGGTTTCGCACCACGAAACTCTTTCGTAATATATACGAAATTGTACGAAATATTTTAGAAAAATGCAAAATAATTTTATATAATTTTAGAAAAAAAAAAAAAAAAAAAAATATTAATTTTACGATTTTTTTAAAGACATAAATATTTTAGTTCTTTTAAAATAATTATTGTAAATTTAGGAAAAGATTGCGAATTTAAAAAAACAAATTTTTTATGTTTTTTAAAAAAAACATAAAAAATTTTACAGGAAATTAGGCAGCTATTTTTCTGTAAATTAATAATTACGTTTAATTTAACTCCCTTAATAAAAAAAAATCGTAACAAAATAATTTTTTTGTGAAATCAAAAATAATTCTTGTATATTACTAAATAATCTTGTTACGAAAAAATTCGTTACTTTCGTTAAATATTACATGCCTTAACGAAATTATTTTTGTAAAAGAAAACAAAGTTTCTTAATATATACGAAAAAAGATATTACGACAGGTTTTCGTACTTTCGTAAAATTAGAAAAGGGGTTGATTAAACAATATTTCGTATTATACACGAATTTTTCGTATATATTACGAAAAAAGTAGTTACGAAATTTTGTTTCGTAAAGTTAAGCATGGACTATTTTCAGTGTAGGGAAGTTATTTAAAAATCTAGTTATGTTAAGTTCTTTATCTGTCATTGATTTTATATAGAACTAGCTATACCCAGTGTGCTTTGATACCCTGTTTTCTATCTATCGCCAATTTCTATCTATTTATGAAAAATTTGAGGAATATAAGAGTTTTCAAGATACACGAAATTTTGTAATTAATTCATATATGTGGTGCCATGCCACCCATTGAAAGTCCGCCCGTTATTCTCTAAATGTTCCCATGAATGTCAAAGTTCTTCATGTAAAATTTGAAGATTCTAGCTCTAATAGTTTCTCAGTGAGCGCTTCAAGCTCCCCATATGAAAGACC